TTGGTTGTTTTCCGGATTAAAATCGATCTTGAATCGAATCCCTATAAAATTATCATAACTGTGCGCACCTCAAATACTGGATTCGTGTTACAACATGAGTGTGGCTGGCTTTAGAAGAAGGAGGAAGAGAAGGAGGCGAAGAGAAAGAAAATGTCGAAGGGGAAGAAGAGAGGTGGCGAAGATGTAGAAGTGGAGGAGGAAAGAAGAAAAAAATGAGAAAGAAGAAGAAAAAGAAGAAGAAGAGTAAGAAAAGAGAGTAGGAGGAAGCCGATAAGATGTGAGTAAGAGGAGAAACGAAAAATACACTGATTGATAACAATCTGTTGGAATAATTTAGTTCGTTTGCTTGTATGTATAGATCTGATGAATATATTTTCAGAAGTGGAAAATATGAAACTTAAAGTTTCTTCTACAATTATGCACTCTTTTCCTCCAGAATAAACAATCTAGAGCATTGATTCTCATCCTTTTTTTACCCATTGACACCTTTTCCTTTTCTTTTTTCTTGGTGGACCCCTTAATAGCTATTTCACATAAGATAACAATATTCTATGTTTCATTAATAAAAATTTTGAGGTTTTAATAATCAAAGAAATATTATATAATTAAGCTTTATTTTTAAATGAAAACTAATTTAATGCAAATAAATTATTCTTCAATAATAATAATAATAATAATAATAATAATAATAATAATAATAATAATTTTTCATTAACCAATATCTTGTATTACAATATTACAATGTTTTTTCTATAGTCAAGGCCAAAGGGGAGCAGAGTTCTTCAGGCAATTGAATTCACTACAGCATTTATTTATGCACACTAGTTAAAAATTTTAAACCAATTTAAGTGTGAGCTTAGAAAAAGAAAAAAAAAGGCATGTTTATTTAACGGGATCCCTGTGATTGATGTTGCTCAGCAAGTTTCTTTATATCTGGTTCCATCGATGTTGATGATAGTCGAAGATCTCCTCTTTTCACGATGTCAAGTCTATTGCGAACTTTTGATAACAGTTGAGAAACACGACTAAATCCCGATTCAACAAGATAAAATGTTGGAAAAGCCAAAACGTAGAGCTGTGCTTTATTTTAATAATAATAAAAAAAATTCTGAGATGGCTTTTTTCAGGGACCACCAAAATATCATTGTTAACCCGCAATTTGTTATATTTTTCTTTGGAACCCCCAGAAATAATACATGGACCCATAGGGTCCATATGGACCCCAATTGGGAATCTCTAATCTAGAGCAAGATTTTCTCAGTCATGTTGCATGTTTCTGCAGTGTGTTCTTTATGCAATCTTTATACCACAATTTCGGCTTTGAGATAGATAGATAGCAACAGACCAAGAAAGGAAGAAAGATATGCAAAAAGAAAGATAGAGAAAGAAAGATATATAAAAAATGTGAGTAGAAAGTCAGTCAGATATGAATTGATTAAAATGGATTGACGTAGGTATAAATAGACTGAGATACTTAGATTGGCAAAAAGAAAAAAAAAACATGAGATAGATCTGAATATAGATATATCTTTGCTGATATTAGAGATTCCAATTTCTTGTTTCCTTGACGGTTACAATCTTCAAAAATGTAAATACATCTCCAGTCACCATCTTCTGTCTTCCTGAACCGTATTCTTTTATTATCTTTTCCCCTCAATAAAGTCTACTCATTCTCTTTCACTACCAGTAACCCCTTGCGTTTTAGTGGCATTATCACCTTGCTTGGGAGTGAAATGATTTTAAAAATTAAATGGCGGAAAACCCTCTCCAGTTGTATGATTAGTGTAACACAATCTTTGTATCTCTTCATTATTCCAGTTAATGGGGAAGCTACTGGACGAAGCTAAAGTTTCTAAATATCCAAGAATATTTATTTTTGTCGGGTGATATTTGAAGGTCACCTTGGATTGTTTCGCCAATTAAAACTTTATTGGATACACTTGTTAAAAAAAAAATATCTTTACGAATATTTTATTGCAAGTTTTTCCAACCAAACCAAATTTTATTATTATACACGTTGGTGATTTCCTTTTTCACTGCAGTAACTCGCGGGTTAATCTAGTAGACGGAATGAATTGCAAACTATTTTTGAATGAGTTCTAAAAATTATCGAATATAATTGGATTAATTCATCGTTAAAGGAAGTCGGACGTATTGAACTATGACCACAGATAACCTCAAATTTCAAAGCCGGTGTTTGTGGGTTGCCACATGAAATAAAGAAAATAGTTATTTTAACAAACAAAAACCAGTTTAACAAATCAATGGCTGACATAAAGGATATTTGAACGCATTTAGCTTCAGAAAGAAAGAAAAGAATAAAGAAATATTAAAAATTCACAAAAACTATGACTCCGGGAATGACAGACGACTGAGTTTTATTATCCCTAAGCTATATCACGTTGAAACACCGAGTCTCGTCCGATCACCGAAGTTAAGTAACGTCGAGTCTGGTGAGTACGTGAATGGGTGACCACCTGCGTATGCCACATGCTGTAAG